AAAATATCCTTGGGTGAGGGTATAAAAAAAAAAGAAGAGGAGAGAAGCTGTTAGCAAAGAGGCGGAGGGGCAGATTAGGAGGGCTTCGTGGTCTCAGAGGACATGCCTGTCCAGGCCACCAGTCTGAAAGCAGAGGGACTCGCCTGGGTCTCAGGACTGCAGGAGAGCGGGTGGGACCCATGAGCATCTCCCCTGCTTCTCCCTCAGGAGCCCTGGAGTCAAACCTCCGTTCTGTGGTGTCTGCCTCCCTCTGGCCTGTTTCCTCATGTATCAAGTGGGAGGGTGGGGCATGGTGGGGTCAACTCACTCAGTGCCCCTCATGAACCCATGCAGGGAGGCCCCAGCTCAGTCAGCTCCTTCCCATGCCCCTGCCCAGGGAGCCCTGGCTTGCCAAGTGTCCCCTTCACGCCAAGCCTGACTTGACCAGAACGCAGTCTACCTTCAACAGATCTGATGAAGATACAGACTTAAAAACTAACACCCTATAATTCTTCTTGTATAAATACATGTTAATTCCATTGAGGGGGGGGAAAAATCAACGTCCTGTAAAATGATGCAGCCATTATGGAAAACAATATGGAAATTTCTCAAAAAATTACAAATAGAGCTGCCCATATAGCCCAGCAATTCTATTTCTGGGCATTTATCTGATGGAAACAAAAAACATTAATTCAAAAAGACATATGTACCTGTATGCTCATTGTAGCATTATTTACAACTAGAGGCCCGATACACAAAAATTCATGCACTGGGGGAAGGGGGTCCCTCAGCCTGGCCCGTCTCCTCTCACAGTCCGGGAGTCCTCAGATGTCCTACTGATGGCTTAGGCGGCTGGGCTGATCAGGGGAAGATGCCACCCCCATTACCCGGCAGCTGCTGCCACTGCCGGCCATGGCAGCTGCGAGGCCCGAGCCCCAGGCCTCGAATGCACCAGAATCACAGCTGCCTGAGCCCACAGCTTCCTGAGCCTGGGGCCTCACAGCTGCTGTGGCTTTGTCCAGAAGACATATGCCCTAATTAGCATATTACCCTCTAATAGCCCTGCGCATGAATCCGTGCACCAGTAGCTTGCTGCCGCTTGCCTCAACTGGCTCCACACCCACAGCTGCTGGTAGCTTTCTGCTGTTCTCCAACCACTGCCCCACCCTCCTGAAGCTCCCCCAACATCTCCCACCTCCACCTCCACCCTCTCCATATCCCCCCTCCCTCCCGGCTCATAGCTTGCTACCCTGTCCCCTCCAGTAGCTTTTCACTGCCTGCTGGTAGTTTGCTGCCCCACCCTCCTGCAGATCGTGATCTGATTGTTATGTGGTTGGTTGTTAGGCCTCAAGGCATAACGGATTATTAGCTTATTCCTCTCTTATTATATAGGATTATATAGGATAGCCAAGACAATGAAGCAATCTAGGTGTGGGTAAAGAAGAGGTGCTGCATTAATATTTCATTGTATATATGCAGCACCTCTTCTTTAAAAATGAAATCTTACAACAATGTGGAGGGTATTATGCTAAGTGAAGCAAGTCAGGCAAAGACAAGTACCATATGATTTTACTTATATGTGGAATCTAAAAACAAAATAAATGAACAAATAAAACAACACAGACCCTCCTAAATTCAGAGAACAAACTTAGGGCTGCCAGAGGACTGAGGTGAGGGAATGAATAGAAAAGGGGGATTAAGAACTACAAACTCCCAGTTATAAAGTAAGTCATGGGGATGTCGTGTACAGCATAGGGAATACCGTAAGTAATATTGTAATAACGATGTTACTAGACTTGTGATGATCACTTTGTGTAAAGCACAAAATATTGAACCACGATGTTATACACCTGAAACTAGTATAATACTCCATGTCAACTATAATTAAAAATGAAATGTTAGCCGAAACCGGTTTGGCTCAATGGATAAAGCGTCGGCCTGGGGACTGAAAGGTCCTAGGTTCGATTCCGGTCAAGGGCGTGTACCTTGGCTGCAGGCATATTCCCAGTAGGGGGTGTGCAAGAGGCAGCTGATCGATGACTCTCTCTCATCAATGTTTCTAGCTCTCTATCTCCCTTCCTCTCTGTACAAAATCAATAAAATATATTTTAAAAAAATTATACAAAGACATTAAAAATTTTTAAAAAAATGAAATGTTAGAAACACAATAGCTTGCTCTCCCTCCCAGGAGCACGCCCGCACCTCTCTTCCCTCTCACGTGTGCCTCTCCTAAAGGGCCCCCGTGAGACCTGCAGCCAGGGGAGCAATGAATCGTGGCAGCGCCTCCCGCTAACCCCCCGACCTGTCCCCAGGGTCCCCTTTGGCTTCCCAGCGAGCCAAAGTGGTCCTCCTGGGCTCATCTCTTCCCTGTCACGTTTCTAGGGGGCCAAAGCAGCCCAGCGAGGCCCTCTCCTGTTGTTCTTCTATCCTAAGCCCTTCCTTGTTCCACTGTCCTCAGCTTTAATAAATGTACTCGCAAAATAAATAAATAAACAAACAAACAAATAAATAAAAATTTCAATTTAGAAAGGCAACACAAAAAAGTAAAATAAATAAATAAAACCATGGGAACAAAAACTGCCTTGGAGGAGGTCAGAAGGAAAAGTGCTAATCTCATCTGGGCTCAGGCAGGGCTTCCTGGAGGAAGTGACACCGGCAAACTTAGCGAGTGGCAGTGAGCTCCCTGCAAAGCCCAGCAAAACTCCCATCTGCTGCTTTTTTTAAAATATATTTTATTGATTTTCTTACAGAGAGGAAGGAAGAGAGAGAGAGCTAGAAACGTCGATAAGAGAGAAACATTGACCAGCTGCCTCTTGCACACCCCCTACTGGGGATGTGCCTGCAACCAATGTACATGCCCTTGACCGGAATCGAACCTGGGACCTTTCAGTCCGCAGACCGACACTCTACTGCTGAGCCAAACCGGTTTCGGCTCCCATCTGCTTCTTTTTATGTTTGAATGAAAGTCTTACAAATTAATTCTGATACTTACTACGACATGGATGAACCTTGGGGACATTAACCCAGACAGAAGAGACAAATACTGTGAGACTCCACTTACATGAGGTGGTAGAGGAGTCAGATCCATAGAGACAGAAAGTAGATGGGGGTGCCAGGGACTGAGGGCGGGGAGGGAGATGTTGTTTAATGGGGACAGAGACTCAGATTTACAAGATGAAAAGAGTAAATGGATGACTGATTGCACAGCAAAGAGTAGGAGTGGATGACGGCGATTGCACAGCAATGTGAATGTATTTAATACTGCTGAACTATGCACTTAAATGGTTATGATGGTAAATGTTATGCTATGATATATATATATACACTGAGTGGCCAGATTATGATGATCTCTGAACACATAATAATCTGGCCACTCAGTGTATTTTTATCTCAAATGGGTACCAAAAGTATTCTAGACTTTTGTTGGAGATCAACCACCTATTTGCCCTGAGCTTTTTATCAGCCAGTGCAAAAGGGAAAACTGATCAGATGCATGATTTATAGTATCTTTGATATCAAATAAATGAGGTACTCAAGAGAAGTACACTGAGCGGCCAGATTATTATGCGTTCAGAGATCATAATAATCTGGCCACTCTGTGTGTGTGTGTGTGTGTGTGTGTGTGTGTGTTTATATGTGTGTATATATGTGTATATATATGTGTATATATATTATATTTTAAATGATTTCAGAAAAGAAGGGAGAGGAAAAAAGAGACAGAAACACCAATGATGAGAGAGAATCACTGATCAGCTGCCTCCTGCACACACACCCCTGGGAATCGAGCCCACAACCAGGACATGTGCCTGACTGGGAATCAAACTGTGACTTCCTGGTTCATAGGTAGATGCTCAACCTCTGAGCTACATGGGCTAGGCTATGTTATGTACATTTTAACACAATAAAAAAACTGGGGGGGGAAACTTACGCATTAAATCATATCAAATGAAGAACACATTAAACTTGAAAAACTAGTGGCTATTTTAAATTTGAATGAATTCAGATAGATTGAAATTTGTATGGGGTTTTTAAAAAAGTTCTTTCACCGAAACCGGTTTGGCTCAATGGATAGAGCGTCGGCTTGGGGACTGAAAGGTCCCGGGTTCGATTCCGGTCAAGGGCATGTACCTTGGTTGCGGGCATATCCCCAGTAGGGGGTGTGCAAGAGGCAGCTGATCGATGACTCTCTCTCATCGATGTTTCTAACTCTCTATCTCTCTCCCTTCCTCTCTGTACAAAATCAATAAAAAAAATTAAAAAAAAAAAAAAAAAAAAAGTTCTTTCCCTGGAACTGATGACAAATTGGCGAACCAGGCAGATTTAGCTCACAGACGGGTCCGGAAGGCCAGCGCGAAGGTTTAAACACATTTATCAAATTCGGGCGAGGCCTAAACCAATTTGGCTTGGTGGATAGAGTGTTGGCCTGTGGACTGAAAGGTCCCAGGTTCGATTCCCAGGTCAAGGGCATGTACCGTGGTTGCAGGCAGATCCCCAGTGGGGGGTGTGCAGGAGGCAGCTGATTGACGTTTCTAACTCTCTATCCTTCTCACTTCTTCTCTGTAAAAAAATCAATAAAATATATTTTTTTAAAATGCAGGCGAGGTGGTAAACCGACCTGTGTGCACTCTGTGGGGACCACAGCAACGTACTCTCAGCACAACCCAGCTGTGTCTCCGTTTATAGATATGGGGGTAAACAACTGCCCCAGGTCTCACAGGGAGGGAAGGCTCCCCTCGGCACTTCAGCCAGGTGCTGTGAGTCACCCTCTGCACTTCGAACCATTCCCCACACCCCCACACCGCCTCTGCAAAATATGAGCTACTTGCCATGTTTCCTCTTCCGATTTCACATAATCAACGGATCTCCTGGCCTTTCCTGAAGAATCAGATCTTCGAAGCCTGGGCTCCTTTCTCTGTCTGACCCACCCAGATGGAGGATTTCTGACCACAGTCTGGGAGGAGATCCCTGGGCCCGGGAGTGAAGTGAGTGGAGATACATACACCTGCTCGGTCACCACTCACCTCGGAGTGTCCAAGACCCGGATGACAGTGGAGATGAGGCGGCCGTCCCTTGAAGTCACCTGTGCCACATACTGGGGTGGCCCCAGGCCTGTGGCCTCCACGACCTTGGAGAAGGCAGGGCTGCTGGAGCAGTCACATAGGGAGCCGGGGAGGTGGCAGCAATCGCCCGTCGTCATGGCCACAAGGAGCACCGCGTCCTCAGGGCCTGAGGCCCATTGTCCCAGGAGCCTGGGGAGAAGCCAGCAGGGAGGGGAAGGGCAAAGTGAGTGATAGGACACAGACCAGGGTTTGAATCCAGCTCTCTCGGCCTCAGTTGCCCAATCTGTAAGATAGGGCTTTGTAGGGGTTGTGAAGATTCAAAAAGGTCACACATGCAACTCAGCCCAGCGCACACCAAGGACGTGGTTATATTACCTCTAACTCTCCTAAAATAAAATAAATAAATAAATAAATAAATAAAAGATAGCTGCTCCAGCCTTCAGAGCTTCCAGGCTCCCCAAAAATTCACCTTAACAGCATCTAACAATTGCTGAGCACCTACGGTGTGGCATGCCCTTTACTTAGGGTTTTCCAGTGCCAGAGCCATGCCAACCAACCATGTGGAGAATGGTTCTCTGTGGACTGAATTCCTAGGACTGGGCTCAGAACAGATAAACCGGCCTCTGAGTGGGGCAGAACTGAGCTGGTCATTTGGCCCCACAGACAAGGATGGTGTCACCTTGACCCATCTGGTTCATGGCCTCCTCTTCTTCTTCTTCTTCTTTTTAATTTTAATATACTTTATTGATTTTTAAAAATATATATTTTATTGATTTTCTACAGAGAGGAAGGGAGAAGAATAGAGAGCCAGAAACATCGATGAGAGAGAATAATCAATCATCTGCCCCTTGCACACCCCCCACTGGGGATGTGCCCGCAACCAAGGCACACGTCCCTGATGGGAATCAAACCCAGGACCTCTCAGTCCGCAGGCAGACGCTCCATCCACTGAGCCAAACCGGTTTCAGCTGATTATATATATATATATATATATATATATATACACATATATATATATGTATATATATATATATTGATATGTGTGTGTGTGTGTGTGTGTGTGTGTGTGTGTGTATATATATATATAATTTTTTTTTACAGAGAGGAAGGGAGAGGAATAGAGAACTAGAAACATCGATGAGAGAGAAACATCGATCAGCTGCCCCTTGCACACCCCCCACTGGGGATGTGCCCGCAACCAAGGCACACGTCCCTGATGGGAATCGAACCCAGGACCTCTCAGTCTGCAGGCCGACACTCCATCCACTGAGCCAAACCGGTTTCAGCTGATTTTATATATATATATATATATATATATATATATATATATATATATGTGTGTGTGTGTGTGTGTGTGTGTGTGTGTGTGTGTATATATTTATTTTTTATTTTTTTTTTACAGAGAGGAAGAGAGAGGGATAGAGAACTAGAAACATAGATGAGAGAGAAACATCGATCAGCTGCCTCCTGCACACCACCCACTGTGGATGTGCCCACAACCAAGGTACATGCTCTTGACCGGAATCGAACCTAAGACCCTTGCAGTCCACAGGCCGACGCTCTATCCACTGAGCCAAACCGGGTAGGGCTCATGGCCTCTTCTTGCACAGCTCTGAACTCCTTGGCACTTCAGGCCATCAAGGAAGCGGCCCAGGCTGGGGAGGACCTTGGCCGCCTCTGTCCCCATCAGAGCAGCGCTCTAGGCCACGCCTCTGTTGCGAGGTGAAGCCATGGGACAGCTGGAGCTTCAGACAGCAATCCGAACTCCGTTCTGGGTAGGTGACTTTAGCAGGGTTTGGCCCCTCAGTCCGGGGTCTGACCTGCCAGAAGGAACCCTTAGCAACCCCCTTGTCCCTTCCAGAACCAGCCAGAAGACGTACGTGCTTCCCCCTGGGAATTTCGTGAAAGTACTAGATGCCCTTCTCAATGCCTCTGGAGGCCAGTACAGGTGCCCTGAAGCTAAGGGTCTGTCCCCAAGTTGTCTCACCCTTTATCTCAGGAGCTTTGAGCCAGAGACCCCAGAAATACTCACTGATGTACCCCACAGTCAGCTTTAACCAGTTCCTGCCAGTTAAAATCTGAAACTCAAGGAGACAGAGTCAGAGGAAAGCAGCATAAGTTATTGACTAACTTTCTGCACCGGGATAGCCTGTCCGCGGATCACTGCTCTCTGAACAGCTCGACCGGAAGTATCCTAGCCCAACATATGCTTCTGAGCCTCCACATAGAGGCCGACCAGTATGAGCCAGAGGCAGGAGGAGCCGAGAGGAAGGGTGTGTGACAGAGATAACACCTGAAGGGCAGCGAGCGGCCTGCCGTGGTGTGTATGCCGCTGTCCCTTCATGTGCATACAACCAGAACTTCTGGCCCAGAGGTCAGCAGGAAAGTCAATGGTCTATCCAAGAGAATGTTCCTGCACCTCCCCCACCCCCACCTCCCTCCAAGGATCAACCTTAACATTCCTGCAAGGAATTGGGCACTACAAGAATAATCACAGCTCCTATATATTACTTCTACCATTTCTTTTACTATCAGGGGGGAAAACTCACTGGTATATCTGCTAATGTAAGGCCTGCAAATGGCCAAAATAATAACAGTAGTTACTCTTTCTTAGGGACTTACTACGTGCTAGTACTGTGCTAAGCTCACTGAACTCTAAAAAATGAAGTGTCCCCTTCAAAGGTCACCTCCCCAGAAAGGCCTTCCCTGACCATCCTGGCTAACATGCCATTGATGTCCACCTTTATTGCCCTCACAGACTGTGCCCCACTCTGAGATGCTCTTACTTCTTCATCTGCTTGTGTAACCACTTCTGTCTTCCAGGCCTTAGGGAGCTCTACAAAGGAGGGACTGAATTGGACTTGCTCTCTGCAGTCCCCAGCACCTGACCCTGTGTCTGGTGTAGAGCGGCTGCGCTAATTTCTCAGTCCCTACCCTGTGTAAGAGCAGACCCGTGTTATGAAGAAGAAGGTCCCGCCCCGCCACCGTGGCTCAGTTGGTTGAGCGTCATCCTGTGCACCAAAAGGTTGCTGGTTCGATTCCCGGTCAAGGCATATGGGATGTGGGTTCAGTCCCAGCTCAGGGCACCTAAAGAAGGCAAAGTCTCTCTCTCTCTCTCTCTCTCTCCCTCTCTCTCTCTCTCTCTCTCTCTCTCTCTCTCTCTCTCTCTCTCTCATCAATAAAAACGTTTCAGAAAGGAAAAAAGAACAAGGTCTCTTGATTTGCCAGTGCCCATGGAGGGAATCAGATGTTTAAAGGCTGAGGTCCTTGCAAACCACAGAGGTCAGGGCTCAGAAGAAACCAAACTCAAGGTTGGACACAAGGATAGAATGGCTGCAGGCTAGACTCTGCTGTGAGGCTGCTGGGATGGGAAAGGAAACCAGTGCCTATTGCAAATTTGCTTCAGTGCTCTAGAGATAAATTTCACTGAATCTTCTTCAGTTACTTGCTCAAGGTCACAAAGCTAAGAAGGCACAGTGCCGGAATTAACTTAGTCCAGCCCAAGCTGGTTGCTCAGTGGTTAGAGCATCAGCCCATGGACTGAAGGGTCACAGGTTCTGCTCTGGTCAAGGGCACTCCGTTGCAGGCTCGACCACCTGCCCCTGTTGGGGCATGTGTGGGAAGCAACCAATTGATGGATATTTCTCTCTCTGTCTCTCCCCGTCCCTTCCACTCTCTCCAAAGGAGCTGGGTGTTTTCAAGTCCTGACTCTGTCATTGACGATGTGTGTCCTGGGACAAGTCACTTTGCTTTTCTGGGCCTCATCCTTCTCTGTCAGCTGAGTTGGAGTTGGTGGACTGTGTCTGCCGAGGCTCCGTTCCTCCAGTGAAGCTCGCCCTTGGCTAGGCCTGTCTCGGTGGCACTGGCACCACAACCTTTGCACATCTGCCCCCCGTCTCCTTTACTGAAGGAAGGAAACTAAAGGAAAAGAAGTCAGGGGACCCTAACTCCCTACAGTATGATCTCAGGCCCGCTGCTTCGGTCTCTGGCCTTGGTTTACTCATCTGTAAAATAGTAATAAACATGATACCTAGCTGAAAATTCCATAAATATTAAGAAGTCAATAAATAGGCCCTGGGCTGGACAGCCCAGTGAGTTAGAGCACATGTGTCAAACACAAGGCCCGCGGGCCAAATCCGTCCCGCCAGGCCTTGCAATGTGGCCCGCACCGCGCTGTCATCACTGCACTCCGCTGCGTTTCCATCACAATGACAGTTTATGACTGTTCAGTAAACCATTCGGCTCACGATTTAGGCTGGATTTTAGATTTTGGCCCCTTCTCTGATTGAGTTCGACACCCCTAAGTTAGAGCATCATACCATTAAACAAAGATTTCGGGTTGGATCTCTGATCAGGGTACAAACAAGAATCAACCAATGAATGCATAGGTAAGTGGAAGAAGAAATCAATCTCTCTCTCTCTCTCTCTCTCTCTCTCTCTCTCTCTCAAATAAATACATGTTTTTAAAGTTAAAAAAAGTCAATAAATATTACCTCTTATTATAATTGCCAGTTCACATACAGAGTTGAGAGGGTTTGATGAGACAAGGCACAGTGTGGCACACAGTAAGTGCTCGATAAATGCTCACTTTAAAAAAAAAAAGTAAAAAAAAAATAATAAATTAAATAAAATAAAAGTAGAGCCTGTGAAATGCATTCATTCCTCTTCATTCACCATAAGGGAGGCTCCTGCTCCTATGTGCCCTTCAGTAACTCCCAGGCCCTGCACTGGAGGTCAGGTTCGAAGCCCAGTTCTGATCTTATTTGCTGTGCAACACTGGGCAAAACCTTGACCTCTCTGATCCCCTATTTCCTCTTCTGAATAACAGGGAACATTTCTAATACTTGCATCTATTATGGTCCCTGGAAGAGTAAATGAGCCAATCATATAAATTGTTTGCAACGCCCACCAACAATCAGGCACTCTGCTCAGCATGTTCTTTCTACAGGGTGCCTGGTTTACCATTATTTACTATTTTTCATCAGAACCCCTTTGAGAAGGAGGTTGAAGGACATTGGTCACTACTGACCGCCTACTGTGTGCCTGAAACTCAGCAGCCACCGCCAGAATCAGCCCTATTACATTGACGCTGGGAAGATCAGTATCACAGATAGGGAAACCGAGGCTCGGAGACCTCCCGCTGCCCTCGAGCCGGGAACTGCAATCCCCTCGTCCTAGGAAGGGTTGAGGCCGAGGGTCAGAACCCGGCCGCTCCGCCAGGGGCCAGGCTCCAGGCTCCAGGCTCCGGCCTCGAACCTGGGGCCGGCCCGCGGACCGGCGTCCTCGGTCCCCACCCGGCCCCCGTGCGCACCTGATCCGCGGCCGGGCCGGGAGGCAGCGCAGACCCTTCCCTCTCGCCGGGCCCCGTCCCCGGCCCGGCCGGTCCCGTCAGCACCTCTAGCTCCGCTCCTCCGCCGGCACCTGCGTCCCGACACCGCCCGCCAAGCAGACGGAGCCGGGGGCCAATGGTGACCGCCTCTCGCCCGCGCCGGCCAATGTCTGTGCACGTCCAACCCTGGGAGGCGGGGCCGAAGGCGACAGGGCATCCTGGCCGCACTGGGCGCCCCGCTTTGCTGCAGCGGCTGGCTCCGCCCCTGCCGCGCCCTAGCCCCGCCCCCTGTCCCAGCCCCATCATCAGCCTTGGCCCCGCCCTAATCCGGCAAGGAGCACGAGAGGGGCTGCTAGCGCCATCTGCCGGCGACCAGTGCTTGTTAATAAAACCGTTACAGGATTTGAGAGTTTGTCATCTGCCTTAAGCTTCCTATCAACCCTGGGGGAGGGAGACACCATATGTTCTCTAGAGGAAAAACAGAAGCCTAGAGAGGTTAAGAAGCCGTGGAAGAGACAAAGCCAACATCATTCATTCATTCATGCAATAGAAGTTCATCCACTAGATGTAATATAAACATCAATAAGAGAGCCTTTTGGGCCCTGGTGTGACTCAGTTGGTTGAGCGTCGGTACTCTGTACCAAAGGATCACTGGTTGGATCCTGATGTTTCTCTCTAAAATCAGTTAAATATTTTTTTAAAAAAGGAGAGCCTATTATGAGCAGGTACTGTGCTAGGCGCCGGCAACACAATGTTGAGTAAGAGAAATATTGCTCTTGTGGACCTCAGTATATGGAGTGAGAAAGACAAAACAACCAATTATGTTATTAATACAGGGTAATGAATTTTAGCAAGTGAGGGGGGATATTATGGAATAATTTGAACAATCCAAACTTCTATCCTTGAAGAATTAATTGAACTGACAAGGTGTGAATGAAAGTTAACTATTGTAGAAGAGGGAGGAATTCTAGGCACATGCAAAAGACCTCAATACTCCTTTGCTCCTCCTACCCCTCCTTTATTTAATATATAGATCAGCTCAATTGTCTCCATTAAATTCTATTGTTATATTGGCTTATATATTTTTAATGAAAAAATAAAACGTTTATTTTCATTTTTAAAAATGTTTTATTGATTTCAGAGAGGGAGAGGGAGAGTCAGAAACATCAATAATGAGAATCATTTATTAGCTGCCTCCTGTATGCCCCCTACTGGGGATTGAGTCTGCAACCCAGGCATATGCCCTTGACGGGAATTGAACCTGGGACCCTTCTGTCCACAGGACAACACTCTATCCACTGAGCCAAACCAGCTAGGGCCTTGAAAACATTTTATATAATTATATAAAACAAAATTTAAAGATACCCCTAAACACCAAAATAAAACAAATGAACCAGTGTATCTAGTTTGTGACAAAATAACACAAAGATGAATGAACACCTAGTGACTTTTAAAACACAACAATTTGTACATGCCATTGCTATATTGGTGGTGGTGGTATCAAAATTGTTCTAAGCGTGTTATGTGTGTAATATGAGATAATACAAAGGAGTAATTATGTTGGTGTCAAAAACTGGGATTTTCAGAGGGAGTGAAGGAGGTACAGATACAAGATTGATTTCAATAAATAAAACCCTTGTAGTCTTGAATTTGAATTTGGGAATATCATGATAGATATATATTTTTTAAATATTTTTATTGTTTTCTAAGAGAGAGAGGAAGGGAGAGGGAGAAACATTGATGTGATAGTGAAACAATGGATTGGCTACTTCCTGCATGCCACCTACCAGGGATTGAGCCCATAACTCAGGTATGTGCCCTGACTAGAAATCAAACCAGCAATCTTTCAGTTCACAGAAAGACACGCAACCAACTAAGCCACAGTGGCCAGAGCATCATGATATATTTTATCTTTATTTTTTTAAATATATTTTATTGATTTTTTTTTTTTTATAGAGAGGGAGAGTTAGAAACATCGGTGAGTCATCGATAGCTGCCTCTTGCACGCCCCCTACTGGGGATGTGCCCGCAACCAAGGTACATGCCCTTGACTGGAATCGAACCCAGGACCCTTCAGTCTGCAGGCCGACGCTCTATCCACTGAGCCAAACCGGTTTCGGCTATATTTTATCTTTATAAAAAGAGTACACTGCCCAGCTGGTATGGCTCAGTGGTTGCGCATTGATCTATGAACCAATAGGTCTGGTTTTGGGCTTGAACCCCAGAAGGGCTACAGGAGGCAGATGATCAATGTTTTTCATCATTGATGTTTCTCTTTCTTCCTCTCCCTTCCTTTCTGAAATTAATACAAATATATTTAAAAATAAATAAAAAGCAAGTATTACTTAGTTTTGTCCACTAAACAGGTCAGAAACAAAGACCAACCTCATTACAGAGTGTTCCTCAAGCTTGTGGACTTTAAGTATCATTTCCAAGGAAAGAACAGGGAACCTTGGGGAAATGACTGATTCTTGATCTGGTACAGAAAATGTACAAAATAAACGTGGCACATCGTGATATACCAGAAAGTACAATAATTGTCAAAGACAGTACCTACTAATGTAGTGTCAGTGTGGGCCAACAAAAGATCCCACCAGCAGCAAGGTGGACAATTTGGCCTCCTTTAAGGATGATTGCAAATCAAAACACATCAAATGTTTAAATCTATGCACTTAAAAATCTTTAAACTTTCTATTTATTGATTTGTGAGAAGGGGCAGAAAGAGAAACATCAATTTTGACCCAGCTGGTGTGGCTCAGTGGTTGAGTGTTGACCTATGAGCCAGGAGGTCATAGTTCAATTCCTGGTCAGGGCACATGGCCTAGGTTGTGTGCTCGATTCCGTGTGGGATGTGCAGGAGGCAGCTGATCAATGATTTTCATTATTTATGTTTTTTTTCTCTCTCTCTCTCCCTTCCTCTCTATAATCAATAAGCATTTTTAAAAGGTAACATCAATTTTTTTGTTCATTGGTTGCTACTTCTATGTGCCCTGACAAGGCATTATACCTGCAACCTTGGTGTATCAGGACAAAACTGCCAAGGCTCAGGTTAAAAAAAAAAATTTAGCCGAGACCGGTTTGGCTCAATGGATAGTGCGCTGGCTTGGGGACTGAGGGGTCCCGGGTTCGATTCCGGTCAAGGGCATGTACCTTGGTTGCGGGCATATCCTCGGTAGGGGGTGTGCAAGAGGCAGCTGATCGATGACTCTCTCATCGATGTTTCTAACTCTCTGTTTCTCTCCTTTCCTCTCTGTACAAAATCAATAAAATATATTAAAAAAAATTTATAGAGTGGCTTTGTTTGCTGGGTGTCCTATAGGGCCCAGTGGTGAAAGTTTTTTATGTTAAAATAATGTCAAATAAACATAAAAGTTGCAGAAATAATGCATTGAGCTCCCAAAAACCTTTTGCCCAATTGTTAACATTTCAGAGTCCTTTGAGTATCAGGTACACACATGGTATCTCATTAATCCTTAATACTTCAGAGTATTTTTCTTAAGTGCACTCTTCTACATAATCTCAGTGCAACCTCAAAAATCAGGATATTAATATCAGTCCGATATTACCATGTCATTCCTAAATATTATAGTTTCAATCAAGTATTTTAAAGTTTCAAAATCCATCCCATGAATAAGTATTATATTTTGTCATCTAATTCAATCTCCTTTAGTCTAGAACAATTCCTCAATCTTTCCTTGTCTCTCATGACCTTAATACTTTGGAAGATTATAGGCTAAGTTATTTTTAGAAAGCCCCTCAACTGATGTTTGGATAGTATTTCCTCATGATTTATGCATTTGGGACAGGAACCACAGAAGTGATGCTGTTCTCAGTGCATACATGTATCAGGAGGCATAAAATGTTTTCTTCCATCACTGATTATGCTAACCTGATTAAAATCGTCTGCTAGGTTTCTCCAGCATGATTTATTATGTTGTACTTTGAAACTAATTTTCCTGTTACTCAATAAACCTTCACCCACCAGATTTAATGTTCATGGATGAGCCAATTTTTGTTAGTTTCAACAAGAAATCTAGAGGAGGACGGCTGCTGGCATTGGTTTGGTCAAATGATGATAGGGTCCATGACTCTGAGATCCTCTTGGCCTTTTTCTCATGGTAGCAAAATAGCTGATATAGGGTGTAATTATACTAAGTTGGGTGGTGGCAATATAGGAGTTCTTTCGACATCAGAAAAGCTCAGCCCTGGCTGATTTGGCTCAGTGGATAGAGCGTCAGCCTGCGGACTGAAGGGTTCTAGGTTCAATTCTGGTCAAGGGCACATGCCTGGGTTGTGGGATCGATCTGGGGCATGCTGGAAGCAGCCAATCAATGATTCTTTCTTATCGTTGATTTTTCCCTCTCCCCCTCTCCCTTCCTCTCTGAAATAAAAAACGTATTTTGTTTTTAAAAAAAGCTCAAACTTGTAGAGAATTATGAGTTTGAGCCAAAACTGATGCCAGAGAGTAAGATCTAAAATGCTCTGCCAAAATAATAAAATAATAATAATAATAATAATAATAATAATAAAAACATGCTGAAACTGGTTTGGCTCAGTGGATAGAGCGTCAGCCTGCAGACTGAAAGGTCCCGGGTTTGATTCTGGTCAAGGGCATGTACCTGGGTTGCAGGCACAGCCCCAGTAGGATGTGAGACACATCAGCTGATTGATGATTCTCTCTCATCAATGTTTCCAACTCTCTATCCCTCTCTTTTCCTCTCTGTAAAAAATCAATAAAAATGTATTTAAAAATAAATAAAATAATAAAAACAAATAAAATGCTCTGCAAAATAACAATTGGAAGTTTCCTTTTATGCATTCAAAATTAAAGAAGGAACACAAGGAAGATTATATGAAAGTGTGAGAAAGCAAGGTAGAGATTGGATTGCAGAATAGTTAAGATTGTGCTCCCTTGAGGATGGTTAGTAGGGGTGTCAAACTCAATCAGAGAAGGGGCCAAAATCTAAAATCCAGCCTAAATCGCGGGCCGAATGGTTTACTGAACAGTCATAAACTGTCATTGTGATGGAAACGCAGTGGAGTGCAGTGATGACAGCGCGGTGCGGGCCACATTACAAGGCCTGGCGGGACGGATTTGGCCCGCGGGCCTTGTGTTTGACACATGTGCTTT